CAAGGCTGTCAGCATTCTCCTAGGAGAAGGTGCCCGGACAGACACAAGGTACTCATTGTTCCTCATACATCGGCACAACCTTTCCCCACTCACTAACTCAAAGTCATGGTGACAGCCGGGTCTGTTGCAGTTTGGATTTCCACTCGCCATCTTAAAATGGACAAACACGGTCGCTGTACCATTTGTTTCTGAAAGCAATGACCAAGATACCTATGTTTTTCCATCGGAATTTCCTCATTCGGCCAGGACCGTCACTATGCAGATCCCCATCGGCAAGGTACCTCTCTTGGTATAAACGTAGCTGTCGCTTATCATCATCCAACATCGTTTTCCTGCAGGAAAAAAAAGTACAGTGTTCAAAACCAGGACCACTCTGGCTGGTCGTAGAAACGACCCATCATGCAAAAGGGCCTGTCGGGATACTGACATGTGTATTTTCTTGATCTGATTCTGCAGCTCCTCATCAGAAGGAAGCACTTCATCAATTTCCTCCTGTTCATATTCGTCCAGCTCTTCCCCATCATACTCATCTTCGCTTCCCACGTCACTCCCCGACACCTCTGCCTCATCCTCCAGGTATTTCTTCAATCTCCTAGAAAAGAATTGTCAAGATCAGAAATGCAATAAACATACACAGACTAGGGATGGAGTGAGAAAAGCAGAACACAGAGCCACTTAAATTTTAATAATACATTTTGAAGATAAAGTCTGTCATTTAATACACACTGGATGCCAATAACTGCACTTTCCAGGCATCACGGCATTATCTTAAGGGGAGGACTATTATCCCCTTCAATTTACAGCTGAATGAACTGAGACCGAGAGAGTAAATAAATTACCCAAAGTCACGCAGCTAGGAAGTAGCAGAGCCTGGATTCAATGAGGTTCTTTAAAGCCAGGACTCCCGATCTCCCTTATACATTTGGGACATCCCCGCTGGCAGGTTCAGATCATTCTGTTCCGTATGTAAGCTCACCAGTGTTGGGAGACAGATTGGAGATGGAATGGTACAGAAACATAATAGCCTGGGATCCCTTACAGCTACATCTTGACCCCCAAGTTAGAGGCATGACTGAGGCTCAGAGTTACTGGTGAGAAAAACCACTATTAGTTTTGGTGACCTCAGTTCCTACTGAGAACAAGTCTGCTGTCACTCTGAGTTCAGAGTCCTGTCATCTATGGCTGTGAGGGGCAGAAGTCTGATGGCTTTCGGAAGGCTGATTTTTATCAAAGACTTAACGTTATTTTTTTTTAAAGATTTTATTTATATATTTCTTTGTCAGAGAGAGAGAGAGAGAGAGAGATGGACAACACAAGCAGGCAGAGCAGCAGGCAGAGGCAGAGAGAAGCAGGCTCCCTGCTGAGCAAGGAGCCCGATGTGGGACTCGATCCTAAGGACCCTGGGATCATGTCCTGAACCAAAGGCAGCAGCTTAACCAACTGAGCCATCCAGGTGTCCCAGACTTATGTTATTATTTTAAAGCTGAATTCCTCTAAATCTCAGGGTTCCTGGGGAATTCCTTCAAGGGCTACCAGCTGAGTTCTCTGATCTTCCCATTTACCCACTTGGAGCTGTTCAACTTTTAGCTGTCATTCTTCCTAAGATTTCATTTGGACAGAGGACTCTGCTGTTAAATAAGGTTTAAGAACCACTACCCTAGAAAAATCTATAGATGACCCAAATCTGCAAGAGATAGTTAATTTTTTTTTTAAAGATTTTATTTCTTTGACAGACAGAGAGAGATCACAAGTAAACAGAGAGGCAGACAGAGAGAGAGGGGGAAGCAGGCTCCCCGCTGAGCAGAGAGCCCAATACGGGACTCAGTCCCAGGACCCCAGGGCCACAACCGGAGCTGAAGGCAGAGGCTTAAGCCACTGAGCCACCCAGGTGCCCAAGAGTTAATCTGACAAGCGACAAATTAAAGCCCCAAACTGATCTTAATAGAATGGAATGATGGGTTAGAGATAATAATATAGAGCTAGTAGAGATCAATATGATATCCTATATGTGAATTCCAAAAGTCATTCATGTACAATATAATACTGAGTACCTATTAAAATGGTCTTTATAAAGCTGTAACATCACAGGAAAATGCTTATGGATATCCCAAGTGAGAAAGAAGCAAGACACAAAAGTGTACATACAAAAAAAAAAAAAAAAAAAAAAGGCACAGATCTCAACTATATGAAAATATATGCATAAAAATGGTTATGGAGCAAGCTACCATCTACACATTCATTAAATATTTGGATGATGAGCACAGATAAGCTTTTATTTGTAGCTTCCTCTCTTCTTTTAAATATTCTAAAATAAATGGTTTACTTTCATGAGCAGAAAAAAACATAAAAGAAAAAAACAAAAATGAACAGGAGGTCATTTGCCCAAGACCAGGATGAGGAAAACCTGAAATGACAGTAATTCATAGGAAAAAAGACCCTAGTTCTAGACAGGGAATTTTCATCGTCTTCTAAATCCTCAGGATCTACAGTGACTCTGCTCTTAGGATCGTTGGTTACTTTGTAAGTCATATGCGCCCAGAACAAGGATGTAGTTATATTGCTACCTACAGCTGGAGTCCAACCACACCTGAGGATAAAGAGAATATCCAGGACATGAGGAGTTGGGAAGCAACGTTATATGAGAAATAGCTGAAGGAACTAGAGATATTTAGTATAGAACTCACTTAAGAGTACATACCATCTTTGAACACTCAAGAGATAGCATGAGATTGGGGTTTATTTCATCTGTGTTAACCACAAAAAGCAACAGAACCAGCAGACTTAGGTAAAACAATAGCAAGTTACAACTTAACCGTTAGGAGAACTTTCTCTAGCAGTGGAAGGAATGGCCCTAACACCTACATTTGCCTTCTCAGCTTCTCAGACTGCTTCAGGAGCTCTTCCTCATCACCATCTTCATGGTCTCCCAGTGCCAGATCTTCATTATCAGAGTTACTGCGTTCGTCCTGAAAAAATGCAGAGTATCACACATGGGATTAGCAGAACAAAACATGTTCTGCTTAACTCTGTTCTGCCTAACTTTAGTCCTCAACTAAAACAGGATTTATAAACTTCTGCCCAAACATCTCATTCTAGGAAATGGCTTCGGATAATATGCCAAACTCAGAATTCTCAACAATTCAGACTAGGAAAAAGACAAACAGCAGCCACACCCGGAAATCGGTTAGGATTACTCTGTTCCCTTCAAACTCACCTCATCACTATCAAACTCATTATCATTTGGGACAAGCCGAAAGTCTCCAAATTCCTCCTCTTCACCTTCTTCTTCCCTAAAATGCAAATCAAGAAATCAATAAGTAAGTTGTTGAAAGCAAACTACAAGGATTCAGTCAACTTAGAAACCGAAAGTATTTTACTGGCACCAACAATCTCTTCAAGAAACAGGAAACAAAGATGCCTTGCCTTTAAAAAAATTTTTAATTATGATAAAATACACATAAGGCACCTCATCTCAGCTGCCCTGCCCGAGATCCCCTGAGTGCCAGCCCTATTCTCCAACTCGGTCTCATTTCCGCTCCAACAAGATGAAAGACACTCTCATGAACCAGGAAAAACTCGCCAAATGGCAAAGCACAAGTGTGCATTGGTGGGAAAGGAACTGCTTGCCGAAAGAAGGTGGTTTATAGAATGGCTATAGCAGGTGATAAAAAAACTACGGTTCTCCTTAAAGAAGTTAGGGATAAACAATTATCTCTGGTACTGAAGGAGTGAGTATGTTCACCAAGAAGAACAGTGACCCACTCTAACAACCCCAAAGTTCAGGCATCATTGGCGGTGCACACTTTCACCATTCCAGGCCATGCTGAGACAAAGCAGCTGACAGAAACGCTACCGGCTGTCTTAAACCAGCTTGGTGCAGACAGTCTGACTAGTTTAAGACTGGCTGAAACTCTGTCCACACAACCTGTGAATGGAAAAGCCCCACTTGCTACCAGAGAGGATGATGATGATGAAGTTCTAATTCTTGTGGAGAATTTGGATGAAGCTTCCAAGAATGAAGCAAATGGAATGGAGTCAACTTCTCAAGAAGATAAAACTTAAAAGAAGTTACTGGGAGCTGCTATTTTATATTATGATAGCTTTTTAAAATTTTGTTCATGGATCTGATAAAATCTAGATCTCTAATATTTTTAAGCCCAAGCCCCTTGGACACTGAAGCTCTTTTCAGATTTTGCTTATACAATTCATTCTTTGGAGTGAATTAAGCTGAAGAAGTCTGGGAACAAAGTTTGAAGCAATGTTAATTTAATCAAGTTCTTTGCCTAGGACACAAACAAACAAACAAAATACATGTATCTCAAGCACAACGCCCCATGCAGAGCCTAGCGTGGGATATGATCTCAAAACCCTGAAATCATGACCCAAGCTGAAATTAGGAGTCGGACGCTTAACTCACTGAGCCACCCAGGTGCCCCAAAACTCTCTACCCTTTAAACAACAGGTTCCCCCTCTTCCCTCCCCTCAGCTCCTGGCAACTACCCTTGTACTTTCTGTCTCTAGGAATTTGACTATTTTCAGTATCTCATGTAAGTGGAATCCTACAACACTTGTATTTTGGGGACTGGCTTATTTCACCTAGCATAATGTCCTCAAGGCTCATCCATGTTGTCACATGTGTCAGAATTTCCTTTCTTTTTAAGGCTGAATAATCGTGTGTGTGTCCACCACATTTTGTTTCGTCACTTGGGATGTGTCCACCTTTTGATCATCATGAGTAATGCTAGGATGAATACGGGTATACAAACACCTGAGACCCTGTTTTCACTTCTTTTGTGAATATATTTGAAAGTGGAATTGCTGGATCATATTCTATTTTTAATTTTTTGAGACACTGCCATTCTGACTTCCACAGAAGCTTCCACATTTTACATTTCCCACCAGCAGTGGATAAGGGTTCCAATTTCTCCATATCCTCGCAAATAATATCCTTATTATTTTATGGGCTTTTTTTTTTCTTCTTTGCCATCCTAATCGGTGTGAGGTGGTATCTTACTGTGGTTTTGATTGGTATTTCCCTAATTATTAGTGTTGAACACTTTCATGTGCTTATTCTTGCCCTCCCCGCTTTTTAAAGAGAAATGTTGTGTTTAATGGTAAAGCTTGGCACACATTTAGTACCAGCCATGGCCTTAAATTGAAGCAGCAGGGACAGGTAGGTGACCCCCACGAAGGCTCACATGCCAAAGAGAATGAGGAAGGCGACCATCACACAGAAGAGCCCCATGTCCTCAGACAGGGCAAAGCCCAGAACGGTACAGAAGAGCTGCCCCTTGAGAGAAGGGTTCCTAGCACAGCCAATGATCAAAGCTGCCACTGTTCCAGAGCCAGCCCCTGAACCAGCCACACTCACCGTGGCAGCCTCAGCACCAATAAACATGGCTGCTGTGGCAATGTCCCAGGAGACAACGCTGGTCTGGAACTTGGTCAGGGCCCCCATAGTGGGGAGCTGCCCTAGGAGGCTGTTTAGATGGGATCCTGGCCTACTCAAGGAGGCAGACACAGGCCTGACTGGAGCCCTGGCACAACAGTAGATCAGAGCCAAAGAAATGAGCAATGCCCAGTCCTCTGCACTCTCTGCCTCCCAGCTTTAGCTCTAAGTTTCTATTCTTGCCCTTTTTAATTTTTTCCAAGATTTTATTTATTGGGGCGCCTATGTGGCTCAGTGGGTTAAGCATCTGCTTTCAGCTCAGATCATGATCCCAGGGTCCTGGGATTGAACCCCACATCGGGCTCCCCACTCAGCAGGGAATCTGCTTCTATTCTTCCCCATATTTATGCCTTGTCTCTCGATTTTTCTCTCTTTCAAATAAACAAATAAATAAAATCTTAAAAAAAAAAAAAAAGACTTTATTTGAGAGAGAGAGAAAGCACCAGTGGGAGGAGTGGTGAAGGGAGAGGCAGAGGGACAAGCAGACTCCCTGCTGAGGACGGAGCCCAACTCGGGGCCTGACACCAGGCTCAGTCCCAGGATCCTGAGATCACAACCTGAGCCTAAGGCGGAGGCTTAACCGACTGAGTCAAACAGGCACTCCGTATTCTTGCTTTCTTTAACCCTGTTCTCCACCAACTAAAGGAAAGTATTGTAATTTCTTTACTTTGCAAATAAGACTCAAATGTACCGTAAGACTCTCAGGATAGGAAGCGCCTAAGATGGTTCCTTATTGCTGACCTCAGGATTTTATCAGAAGTCTGGGCCTTCCTACATTCCCTCCAATCACTGAGACTCACCTGTCTGTGGGGAAAGAACCTGAGCAAAGAGCAAGTGCTTCTTCCATGGGATCCCCCAAGCTGCTCTCCTTCTCCTGCTTATTTAACTCTGATGGAGCCAGAGTAGAGGCGTCTATACCACAACAAAGAAAAAGATTTGTCATCAAGAAATTACAGCTCTGTCCTCTTTCCCCAGCTCAATACAGTTCTAAGGTAAGCTTGCCAAAAAGAGCTCACCATCCATTCATTCAACAAATCCTTATTTGGTGCTTACTATGTGCCAGGCACCAGGGATATGGTAGTGAACAAAACAAAAATCCCAGCTCTCAGAGAGCTGACATTCTAGCATCGGGGAGGAAGGAACACGCAGGTGGAAATAAGTAGGCACTGATATGAAATTAACTATACACCAACTCTCTTCTAAGCTTTGCATGCATATTAACCATAAATGAGAAATCACATGGGTTAAGTTAAGAAATCACTGAAGCTTAAGTTGACATTTTATCACGTTAAGAAAGTAAGGGCTCCAAATGTCAGGAAGCTAAGAATTCAAACCACCCACAAGAATCCGTCACAGCCCTGCCTTCTGTGAATTTCTCACCCAAGGGTAACAGGCTTCTCTTCAAGGACACTGACTTAAGATATTTACTATGGTGAGCCTGATCTCTTGGCTATTTACCCTGAGAAGTGAATTTTCCTGAACAAAGATTCAGAAGTTCTTCTAGGTTCTCTTTCTTGTCGTTCTTCCTGGGCAGAGATTTTTCAGTCTGAGATGGGAACTTTCCAGTACACAGATCCAACAGCTCATCCATGTCTGCATCCATAGCATTCTCATCCATACTGGCCAATGGCAACCCCGGCTTCAGAGCGTGGTACTGGTTCCTGTGGTTTCTAACATTTAAGAACCTACAAGCACAATAAAGAATATAGGACATTCTCTAAGGGAAAAAACAAAGTAGTGAGTAAAAAATTTTAAAGAGGATTTTTTTTTAAGAAGGTGGGGGAGGGGTTGATGGAGAAGGAAAAAGAGAATCTTAGGTAGGCTTCATGCCCTGCGCAGAGCCCAAGGCAGGGTTCAAGCTCGTGACCCTGAAATCATGACCTGAGCTGAAATCAAGAGTCAGATGTTTAACTGAATGAGCCACCCAGGCATACTGTGGGTAAAAAAATTCGATGTTTCTTTTCTTTTCTTAAGATTTTATTTATTTATTTGTCAGAGAGAGAGAGCACAAGCAGGGGGAGCTGCAGAGAGAGGGAGAAGTACCCTCTCCGCTGAGTAAGGAGCCCAATGTGGAAATCAATCCCAGGACCCTTGGATCATGACCTGAGCCGAAGGCAGATGCTTAACCCACTGAGCCACCTAGGTATCCCCAAAATTTGATCTTTCTACAACTAATCTTAAAAGCTGAATTCCAGGGGCACCTGGGTGGCTCAGTGGGTTAAAGCCTCTGCCTTCAGCTCAGGTCATGATCTCAGAGTCCTGGGATCGAGCCCCACATTGGGCTCTCTGCTCAGTGGGAAGCCTGCTTCCTCCTCTCTTTCTGCCTACTGTGATCTCTGTCAAATAAATAAATAAAATCTTAAAAAAAAAAAAAAAAAAAAAAGCTGAATTCCAGGGGCACCTGGGTGGCTCAGGTCATGATCTCAGGGTCCTAGGATCAAGCCCTGTGTCAGTGTCCCTGCTCAGCAGGGAGCTTGCTTCTCCCTCTCCCTCTGCCCCTCCTCCTGCTTGTGCTCTCTCTCATATACATCAATAAAATCTTAAAAAAAAAAGCTGGATCCCAAACTAGAAGACAAAGGATTCAAACTGTAGCCCTGTGATAATCTAAAGAGGGAGGGAGTTTAGTAAGAGAATAAATGCTATTAGAAAGGTAAAGGGGTAAAGGATAGTTTTAGGTTTCAGACAGTGCCAGAGTAGAACTTGGTATTATGTCCATGTAATGTGCCACAGCTCTGTCCATCCTCAATCCCACACTTCAATCCTAACACAGCAGGACAGATAATCTGATGCCCTTACAACAGTTGTGCATTTCAAGGAAAGCAGAGCTCGAAGGATCAGAATGCCAGCAAGGACTATTTACGTTTTATTTTCTGGAGAGCTTTTGTTCAAACTTGCAGAATGTAATACTAATGGTCTGTACACCTTCTCTTTCTCAGAAGAGAAAGCACAGATGGAGCAACAGAAGCTCACTTTATTTTTAAACAAAATTAAGCAGTACCCAGCACCATTCCACCCACAGAAACATAAAACTACCTACCCATCTGCATCTAACAGTTGGCTCTGAGTGTCATCTTCTAAACAGAACTGGAAGTCTCCGGCTCCTAGGAAAAGTGTCTTAGGCTCTGGGGAGGCGTTATACAGATCCTGGGAATCCTCTATGGGAAGTGAAGGCTCAGACAGCTTTCCTGAACTCTGGCACCAAAACAAAACCAAACAAAAACAAAACATTTTATAATTGTCATTCACTGTCATGACAACAACAGAAGTTGCTATTTGCAGGATTTTATCTACTCTCAGGCAATTGCAGTTGAGGAGGACAATGCATAGCCAAGAGAAGAATAAAGGAAAAACGTCTTCAAGAAAGTAAGAATGCTGGATGAGGCTTGTTTTTTAATACACAAAGGGGGGTGGTTTCTTTAAACTGAACATACATAATGTGGTGGGAGTTGCTTGGCTTTGACACAATTTAGCAGGGTGGGAAGTAAAAGGGGGAGGAGATTAGAAAACCATTACCATCTTACCTTAGAAGCTGAGCTGACCAGACTGGCTCGAAATAGCCCAGGGGAAGGAGATCTGAATCCTCCTGGTGTAGCGAAAAAACTGGTCCCACGGCCTGTCTGTCTGTTGCAAGGCTGATAGGATGGAATCGTGGAGCCAATCAGCTCAAAACTACTATTGTGGCTGCTCTCCTTTGTTAGCAATGAGCATGAATCATCTTCATCTAAAGAAAGAGGAATAACTTTTAAGTGCATGGGTCCAGAAATAAGGTGGATCTGTTTAGGAAAAAGAATTGAGAATGAAACTGTCAGGTAACATTCATAGGCAAACCTCTCAAGTTATAAGTTCTAAAACATGAAGGTGAAGGTGAATTATGGTACCAAAATAGCATTATACAGTTGGGGTTTGTCACTAAGCTAAGTGACACCTGAAAGTTCCCATCTTTTTCCCACCCTGCCTAACACCTATCGTCACTCTCCCTGTTATCCAATCACGTATTCATCTTCTTTTCATCTACATAGGACAGAAATGCTTCATGGTTCACTTAATCAACATATACTACTAAGGTCTTATTATATGTCCATAGTCAACTGTAAGGAAACTGAATGTAAGCTTTCAAAAACAGAATGAAGAAAAATTTTCTAATTCACAAAGTCCTTTTAGAAAAATTTTCTAACTCATAAATTCTTTTCATTGCCTCAGGGAAGACTGAGAAAAGTCTACTAGAGTTTAAAAAAAAAAAAAAAAAAAAAAGGAATCTTATGGAATTGTAGTCCTTAAGTACCAAAGCTAGAGGAGCTAAGAAAAGTCAGGTTCTGTGTAAGAGTCATTACTTACCCAGTTTGCTAGACCTTTTGCCTGAGATTTCATCTGTTTCTGATTTTTCTTCACTAGGAAAATAACTATAAAATAAGAAAGTAAATTGTTTCTGCTTTTTTTTAAGGGGAGAGGGAGAGGAAGAGAGACAGAATCCCAAGCAGACTCCCCACTGAGCCTGGAGTCAGACGCAAGTCTCCATCCCATGACCCATGAGTTCATGCCTCAGCAGAAATCAAGAGTCAGACGCTTAACCGACTGAGCCACACAGGTGCCCGATGTTTTTGCTTCTTATGAGAGGGCAATCCCAAGGGAATCTTATCTTTCACTAGAGAGAATTACTTACCCCATCTTGGAAGAGTTGTCCTTAAATAGAAGTAAGGTAGAATCGGATGACAGAGGCTTGGGGACAGACAGAAGTCCAACTGATTTCCCAATGTCACTACTGCCATCACTGTTGTCTTTATCTATTTCTTTCTCGTCTTTGGTTTCTATTTCTTCACTACCGAGAAGGAATTCTGCAATCTTCACCAATCACGCCACCCAAAAACAAAAAGAGTCAAAAAATTCAAAAGCAAATATGCTGTTAGCCAAATATATGGCTGCTTGGTTACAGGTCACATCTTAGATCTGAAAAGGTAAATCTGAAGGAAGCTTGGTCTAACCATTAGCAGTAATATAACTTTCCGACACCTCTAGAGCTCTTTTATACTTATTTTACCTTTTACCTTCCCCAAATTGCTAAAAGATTGTGAAAGACTGGGTTATCATTTTATTGAGGCAATAAGAGGCTAAATAATTAGCCTGAGATTGAAGGACAATTAGTGGCCTCA